GGCTTCTTTCAATGGGGCTTTTTTTCAAATACGAAAAAGCCAACTCAGGACCTAGACAACAGTAATAATGCCCTATTAAAGGCCAGTTTTGAAAGGTTTGGTTTTAATTCCTGGCCTCCTCTTCTGCCTGACAGCCCCAATTTAGGAATACACTTGTAAACAGAAAGAAATTTGGAAACTCTTAAAATTGAGCATTTCTTCACCTTTTACTAAATATACTTTAGTTCCTCATGGCTATTTTGTGAGCTGTGTCCTCACATTGTAGAAACTACTACCATTAAAATATCGGGCCAATTAGCAAATTTAGATTCTTTCTCTCTAATACAGACCAATAGAGGTTAATGCCTAGACACCTTTCACATCACACCATAGATGGAAGCACTTTTTAAGGAGAATAAAATTGTTTTAATCCCATAAGTTACTGAGTAAAGAGCTGGCTTTACTGAAAAATGCTATATATTTTGATGTGCACTCCTAACTGATTGCAAAGAGAGGTGGCTGTAAAATTCATTGGCCATAACAGCAGATATATAGATAATGCCCTTTGCTCCAAGAATATGGATCATACCAGGAGCAGAATAAGCAGTCACACTTCTGTTTCATTTAAGAGGCTTGTAATACTCTAAATTGAGTCAGAATCTTGCCATTTTTGATGTAAAAAGAAGCGAAAGGGTTTACTGGCAGGGATGTGTGCAAAAATGGCTTTTTTTTTTTTTTTTTTAATGAAAATGGGGAATGCTCACAGGAAGCCAATTCTAAATTTGCAAATGCGTGTTTTTAACTGGAAACCCGATTCCAAGAATTTCAAGAGAGTCCAATAAAAATCAGCCAGGTTTGATTTCCAACACCAAATACTTAGAACAAATGGATCCGCAGGCCAAGGATTGTCTACTGAAATTTCTAGTACACTGTGAATGACTAATGAACTCGACAAAACTCAAGAGCTTTTCTTAGAAATCTGCAGAGAGCAAGCAAGGGGGAAAAAAAAAATTTCTGAGGTCCCATTTTGCACAGTTCCATGTAGGGGCAAACTGATTTATATAAAACCCTCCAATAATTTTCAGTAGAAAGTGAATGCTAAAATAAATGCTAGTCCAAAACTTTGTTCAAAATTTGAACTAGAATTTGATCTTTCTCCTTTCCCTAGCTCTAGGATGAAAAACTTCAGTATGAGTGTTCAGAGAAGGACATTGATAATAAAAATTAATGCAACCCCGCAGCTTCTTGCTCTACAAAAAAAAGCATTTTTTGGAAGATAACTAAACCAGCATCTTCCCTCTGTCTCCCCAGTTCTCTCTTTCCATGATACCAGAACATGGCAGTGCTTACATACAGATCTCGCATGCTACCATTGGAACAAGAAGTTGGGCTTGACTGAAGCCAGCTACAAAACCACCAAGCCTCCCTGTCTGATCTTTTAAACATCTACAGCTTATACCCTACAGGAGATATCAATGAATCATCAATGAATCAAAGTGCACACTAACGAACTGCAGATATAATTGCACCCAACTTATTTGTGGATACACAAGAGATTCTCTGCCCTTCCCGTTTTCCAGTGCTTTTCCAAACACAGGCAGAATTTTTTAACACTTTTTCCCCCAGTGCTAACTATTCCAAGAAACCATAGCCCACGTTCTTTCCACTGACCACAGAGAGGAGAACGGAGTGTTGTCCCCCAGACACTGAAAGGGATTGCCAGCAACCCTTTTCTCTGGCTGAGGCACGTGTTTTCTGGAGGCCCACGCAAGCCCAGTGACCTTCAGGCCCAGCACCTTTCCCTTTGAACATTGTTCTTAAAAGACCTTTGCTGCCTCAGAAGAAATCACAACCACTTTTTCTGGGGGTGACATGCTGTAAAAGCAACTCCCCTTTTCTGAATTTCCAAGCACATCCTGATGCAGAACATGGCTGGCCGCCTCCTAAGCCAACCTTCATAGCTGCAGAGAATCAGCCATATGGAATAGAAGTGATGCCCTCCAGCATCTCTCCGATTTTCTCCTGCACAAACTCCTTTGATTGCACCAAGCACAAGAAAGTAAGAATGGTCTGGAGGACGGCAGCGGTCATTTGCCTGAGTTTCCTCCACATTAGGACGACGGAAGAAGGAGGGGGAGGAACCCAACGACATTAAGAACAATGTTGGGAATAGGTCTTTAAATCTGTCTCTCCAAAGCCCATATATTCCCAGCTTTGATAGCTCTCACATTACACAAGATGACATTTCTCTCCATATTGTATTATAATTAATAGGCTACTGCAAGACTTTACCAGCTCCTACTTAATAGCATTTCAGTGCTGGGAAGCAGTCATCAGGTAATCTGGCCATGATCTACTGTATCCTTTCTAAACACAGGTTCTAGCTGCCAAGAACGTCACCATAAAAAGATTTCAATCAATACCACTCAGCTCCTACTTTCAAATGCTCCAGGTCTAGGAAGAGAAGAAGAAAAAAACCCAGTACCCTCAAAACGAACAGCAAACTGGCATATGCATCGAGTACGCAGATTGAAGTGCGCAGATGGGAATTCATTATGGCCTGATCTTGCTCTCTCTTTTATACTTTAGTAACTTTATACTTTGGAAAAGGTCTCACCAAGCGCATGGAGACCGTGTGCATGGAGGGGGTTAAACCCATGCAGATCTTTCCATTCTCAAGCTGTGCTCTTGTTGCCAAACAACAACATTTCAATTGTGATTGGTACAAACAGTTGGGTTTCAATGGCAATCTGTCACGTAGGTTTAAGCCCAGTTTTTACTCATGCAACCTGCAACTTGCTGGGTGGTTGCTGGCTTTGTTATTTATTGGGAGAGAAAGAAAGGAAACAAAACAGATTGGTGGTTTTTTTCTCTTGTCCGGTCTGTAGTTCAAAGGACTTGCTCTGGAGTTTGCTTCTCCATTTGTATTCCCTAAAGTGAAATTAATAAATTAGGAATAAAAGTGAAATCTGCAAATCCAAATCAAAGCACAGCACCTGCATCTCCATGTATCACTTTCTAAAGAAGTAGGGAAGGTCTTATGTGATCTGTTCGTTTGCAGGGCTTCTGTGCTCTCCAAGAGCAAAGGCTATCTAGCAAAATCTGCAAACGCTTCCATCCCTAAATTAAAGCAGAATTGATGACTTAAAAACAAAAGGAAGTCACTGGTTCAGCAAATTAGCAAATAAGATGTCAACAAGAGAAAAAATGGTCAAGGCTCGGATCCTGATGTAGCTGAAGTAGTTGGGGTAGTTCCATTAAATTCAATGGAGCTAAGAGGATTAATGCTGGCCAAGGACCTGGCTCCTAGCGTTTTCCCAGCTGCAGGTCTTAGTTTAGGCTGTTGCCAAGAGGTTAACACTGTGATAATAGAATGAGAAAGTATTTCTATAGGTATATACAGATATATAATTATATTTAAAGAACACTTTGCTACTAGTCCTTTTGTCATTTTAAAATCTGTAATTTTAAAACAAAATTATTTCAGAAGAGCAGCAGAACCTCTTGAGTAAACTACAGACTCTCTCACCCACTCCTAGGCCACTTACTGTCCTAGAAGCAAGTTTAAATGTTATTTCTAAATGCTATTTCTTAAAACATAGGGTGCAACTAAATAAGTAAGGCTCCCAAGGGTCTCTAAGAAGCCAGTGAGTCAACACATAGGCATGGAGTAACAGCAAATCAACAATTCTAAAAAAGGTGCTTCATAAGTTAAGGAAAATAAAAATACAAAGCCTTAAACTTACCACAGAAGGCCCTCAGACTTATGAAACTAAACTGCTGTAATGTGGTACAGTGTTAAGACATACATTTCTTTTTTTTTTTCTTTTTTTTTTTCCTTACATTCTAGAGGGGCAATATACACTGAACCCAGGAAAACAGCTCACCCTAAAAAGTAATTTTGAAAGGAATATCGACTTTGATTCATGCTCCTAAAACCCTAACAGTTTTGCTTTAAAAATAATTGTTCATTCTGCAGAATAAAGTTCCTCCCTTCTCCTCCAGCCACCGAAACCCCACACTGTATCTACATATTTGAAAAAGGCTCTGCTCTGAAATGTTTCTACCTATTTGTCTGAAATTGTAAATGAGTGGCATCTCGTCGGGACTTTAAAGCACCTAGCAGGGTTGAGCGATATCCCAAAACAGGACACGATGAACAGTTGATTGAGACAGAAACGGACTGCCTTTCAATTCCCACAGAAAGCGAGGCAGGTCACTCACCAAAAAGTGACGGCAACAACAAACCCCTCTTTTATCCCTTCCCTTCCTTCTTTCCATTCTTAAGCTGGGCAGAGCAAATGAGGTTGGGTCCACAAAAAATAAGGTTAATAATAATAATTAAACAACAGCAACAACAACAACAGCAACAACAACAAAATAGGCGTCTCAATGTCTGAGGAAAAGTGGGATTGTAAGTGCAGTATTTCTTCATGTGCAGTTCTTCTACTTCATACGAGTCCCCTTTGGATGAGAAGGCCTAGTGGAATGTGTGCTCCCCTCGGACTATGTGCGACGAGAACTCATAGCGGTCCTGGCTTCGGTAGCCACAGATGTTGCACTCTAGCGGGTCCCGGTAGCCGTGGCAGCCCATGTGGATGGTGTACATGACATGGTCCAGGAAAAGGACGCGACAGTGCTCACACTTGAAAGCCCTAATCTGCTCCCCTTCTCCATTGATGACCTTGTAGATATCCTTTAAAGAGCCCTTAGAAGCTTTTGTGGCATCCAAAGCCTTGGCGTCCTCCTTCATATAAGCCGGGCTTGGCTTTCTCTTGGGATTTAAGGCAGAGTTTCCTTGGTAGGACTGGCGGTCTTCGTGGCTGCTCTCTGAGTCAGTAGAATCCAGGCAGCTATTGCTGGGGGAGCCCTCTCTATCCTGGGTTCGACTCTTTGGTCTGATGAGGGAGATCGGGCCATCCATGTTGTTCTCGTGACTGTCAGCTGTTTCCCTGCTAATGGGCCTTTCTATCCTGTTAGGATGATAGACCTGAGCGTAAGCTGAGCTGATGACTGGGGCCACCTCTGCAATTGTGCTTGGTGTGTGCTGCATCAGGGGGTGAAGTGCCTCAGCTCCAAGGTAGGTGATTGCATTGTTGATGGCTTGGTCCATCATGTGAGACTGCATCAGCTCAGCCTCCTTCTCATACGTTAGGTTCATATCAAAGGGAATATCTGGATAGCCAAATCTCATGAGCTTTTCACCTAAGGGACAAGAGCAAATGAATGAGAACAATCAACGTAATCACTCCAAGGTTTCACTGTAAAAGGGGTGGGGAGGGACAGAAGACCCCTGACTGGGGGTGAAATCCATTCCAGAGTCCAAAGTTAGCCTCCTTCTACTTGTTTACTGACCTCCTACAAAGTTTTTCTACTGAGATGGGTAAAACAGCAACCTCACCAATGGCTTTTTTTTTATTCCAGGTGAGACATGCAGCTGCAGCGACATCCAGACTGACATCAAACCTTTCACTGGGCCTGACTATGCCCATGTTTCAAGTTAGGAAATACATGTTAACTGGTAGAAAATGGGATTGAACCATCGAGGTCAGTGAAGCTCCACCGGTTTACACCATTAGACATAGTCTCCCAAAATTAAAAGAGGCAGTACCACATGTGCCCCGCACACCAAGGTACCTCATACATACCTTACAACAGGGCTGCATAGTGAGAAACCTAAGCAACAGGTACAGAGGGCTGGTACAGTGTCACCTTTAGAGCCACAATATGTAAATCCTTCAACCAGCAAAAAAAATATAGAATAACTGCATGCAGCCACAGAACGGAGCAAGTACCAGGAGCGCTGGGGCCTGACCTACCATCTTGCATTCAAGCTATAATATCTTTGTAATTCACCCCCTCAGAAAAAAAAAATCCCACCCCAATGTTTTGGACTGAGAAAAAAAAGACACACACACACACACACACCCCCAGTGCATATTTAGGCAAGAAAACAAAATAGAGAAACCGCATGTACAGCTTATTTTCATTTGCTAAAAAGCAAAAGCAACTTTCATTGACACGGGATAAATAAATACATAATGATGATGAAGCTGGCTGATGCATCACTATGTGAATCCAAATTCACATCCTTGTAACTTTTAAAATCAATGGCATTACAGATATGTGAACCCAGAACCACACGCTGGTAAATTATGCTAGTCACAGGGCATGTTACGTATCACAGCTCTCCTTTGAAGTTAACAAATTTACCACTACTTACATCAGGGCTCAGCTCAGCAGCACTGCTTTTCCAGTGATGGCTTTAGAGTGTCAGTACAAGGAAAGTTCATATAACAACTCTTTTTTTTAAATAGAAAAGGTTATATGTGTAACTATATGCATAAGATACAAGATATACATGCTCATATGTGTTCACACACACAAATATTAGCTAGTTGTTGACAGTTAACTTTTTAAGCTGATTTTGCAAAGTCTGATAAATAATTTTGGTTGGTTTTCATTGTCTTTGTTACTTTTCACTGCCTCGGTACATAAAACCAGACTTTTCTTCAATAGCGTAAGCTAATAAATTCAAGGAGTCACTACGTACAACTGGTTTGGCTATCCAAGAATTAAAGAACTCAAGAATCTTCTATCACCTTTTGCCAAAATTGCTTGGAACAAAATGTGTATAAACCACCATAAGAAAGAAACAGAACTGTAATCCCAAATCTCTTCCAAATAGCATTAGTACATTTCAACATAGCTATCACTCAGCATTTTATTTTTGACTATAATAATTCATTCCACTTAGTGCAGCTTATCTTAAAGTGATGCATAAAGAGAGAAATAATTTTACATTACCCATGGAACAATCAGGTTATCCTTGGAGATGATGCATCATTTTGGGTTGGGAGCTTAGCCCTGATTAGCAAGGTAATTAAATGCAAGTCTAAAGTGAAGCACGTGAATATTCCTACTCTCTTCAGCAGTATTGCTCACATGCTTCTCATTAGACACCATGTTCACGTACCTCACTATGCTTCCCTCCAGCCAGCTGTGTTACACTTATAGCTTACCAAAAGAAAGCATAATGTGGGAAACTGTTCTTTTGTTACACATCAGACATTTGGAGAAAAATAGGGAAGGAAAAAGCAAACGGTGCTACAACGATGGCCTTTGTAATCTAACATGACCTAAGGATGATTCTTGCCATCAAACATTCTCTTTTCAGTGTTTCTGCCGTGGGCTGGCAGTCTTGCTGTCTGTGATGGCTGTCCTGCCACCGATAGGATGGACAACTCTGTAACGGGAGGTGGCTCCAGCCTCACTTGAGTTTGAGCAGCTCCTTCCCAGGTGGGGCCAAAGCGGGACTGGAGGACAGCTCCAGGAGGCACGTGGTGTCTTTGGCACGGTGGGAAGAAAGAAATGAAAATGGAAAAGTCCATTGGTCCCTGTCACCTGCTCTGGCCACCTGTATCGTTCCTGTGTTTGATTAAAGAACTGGATCTGGTGAGAGTCTGATCCAGCCTCCAAGAACACTGTCGGTCCTTTGTAGGCTATACAGATCAAGAAATAATACCTAACCTTTATGGACTACTTGGATGAATGACGCAAATCTTATTTTGATTTCTTTTATCTTCCACATTTAGTTACTTCACCACAGACAGCAGAGTAGAGAAAACTGTAAATTGCCAGTGACCTGAATTATTCATTCCTTTAATTATGAACCAGTTCCAAAGATGTCAGAGCCTTAGAAATGGAGCGTGACATAAAAACATAAAATAAATGATAACGTGGGGAGGAGAGGGCGTAAAACACAGAGCTCAGAAGAAACATTAACAAACCAGTCCAATACGGTTTTCAATTTTAATTCCTCTTTAGCCAAATCTGTACTTAAAACTAACTAATCAGATTCATCATTTTAAATTTTCATGCAAAATTATGCTCAAATTCTATTTATTTTTGCCCTACATTAGTGAAGTAGAACAAGAAACATTCTCCACTGTGGTCATCTTACCCCATGACATTTAAAAAAACCTCAAAACAGGTATTTGAAGCCAGCTCAAAGCATACAGACACAGCTGTCCTGTGATACCTGTAGTCCATCTCATCAAGTATCTAAAGCAACTACATGCCAGACACTTGGGAGAAAGCTGCAAGAAATCTTGGAGAAAGCAGTTACAGAATTTACCACTGGGTAAATTTCTTCCTGACCTCCATTAACTAGAGGTTGACTCCAATTTTGAAGCTGGTTGATCTTCATCTGTTCTGAGATTTTTAATTCTTACTATTACAACTGTGGTCTTACTGTAAGCCACATAAATGTCTCCTTTTGTATCCCGCTAGTTCTTAACCTCAGTGACACTCTGAGAGAGCAAGCACCACATTCAAGCTGAAAATACGTGAATCTGCTTCATGTGATCAGCTTGAAGATGGTTGCTTTCAATTTCACTAGTATCTGCTTCTCCCTTCATTGAAGGGGGGGCAAAAAGAAGTACTCGGACTCTTGCCCATTATAAGTTATAGTTTCTGCCTCCACTATTTCAACAGATTTGGTAAGATTAGTACCTCAATAGCAGATATATAACCAAGGCTCTCACTCATAAATTAACTCTATTTGCTGTGTGCTGCTTCCTTTCCTCCCGAAGTTTCAGCCAGAGTAAAGACTGTGGTCCATAACCAAGGTCCCTTGGAGATTGCTGATCAGAAAAAGCAGTAAAGCATTGATAGATGTAGCATGCGAAGATTTTAGCTTATGCTTACATGACCTTCTCATAAACACCATTAAGTTGTTTTGGACAGGTGCCACACTTGCAGTATGCACAGGAAAATTTCCTGCAAGCGAGAGAACCATTACAAGTTCTTCCTGATAGAGTTGAACAATACTTCATTGGGGAGAAAACGGGAAGAAAAGTAAGGTCATGGTGAAAAAAAGAAAACTAGCAAAGCAGAGACTGCTGTTTTTCAATTCAAACACTGTGATGCCACGGAAGATCAGAAAAGGCAGAAAAATAAGATAGAGTAAATATGAAGGAGGACACTCTAGGATAAAAAGCTGCATGTCACATGAAACCCTGAATTCCTAGCCCCAGAAAATGGAATACCAAGATGATCTGTTACACCTATAGAAGAAACAGGTATATCTAACAACAAAGTAGTACACCCTACTGAAGAGAATAATAATCTGCTACAGCGTATCTCAGGCAAGGTTTTCCAATCAGTAAATTTGCCTCTGAAGACAATAACAACATATGGTCAATTGCATGTGAGTGGACAAGTCTAAAAAAAGAGACCCCCATCTACTGCTTCCAAAAATGGATTCAATTTATACCATCCAAAAAGTGGGTTGCCTCAGTTGCAAGGTATACTTATAATCAGTAAACTATACTGATAAATGAGCCGGCATGGGTACACCAGAATTTAAGGGAAGGGAGCAAGGTCTCCAGCCCTCTCAGATAAAGTCTCTAGCCCCTGCAAAGATAACCTCTGAGAGGTATTGCAAACACAATTCTGTCCAAGTCTGTGGACAACCTGGGGGGAAAAAGAGCGAGGGGTGCGAAATGCCCTTCTTCCTTTTGAGGCTGTGATGTTTCTGAGGTCTAGACACATCAGTTTAAGTGTCAGCACGGTTAACTATTTCACTGTTGATCATAACCTGCAAGAACGTACGGCACTTGCTGAGACAACACTAGGGAAGCCTGCTATGATGGGGCCATGCTTACAATCTCATAAAGCTGTATTTGGCTTGTCAGTAGAGAGCCCATTTCCACCCTCTTCAACCCCAACTGTTGTCACAACAGTCAATCAAATCAGAGTATAAATCCTGTATATCAGCTATACAGTAATTCATTTCAGACCACTTTTAAAGACAACAGCCTAAGAATTAAGCTTTTATCTCAGAAGGATTCATAACCATATAGGAAATACTGATGCCTCCCAGCGTTCCTCCTGTGGGTTGGATTGTTCCTGACCTAACCTTGGCTTAGCACTGATATTTGGGAACGGCCAGATGACTGAGAGCAGCCAGGTCAGTGTAGTCAGGGCCCCCAGGTGAGCTGCTGCATGCTGCTAGCCCCCTACTATTCAAAACCACGTGGGTTAGCTTAAAACCACCTTCAGCGGTGATTTAACAAATCCACCTGAATCTGCATTTAGCTGAGGGGCAATGACTTTTCTAAATGGCTGTGTTAATTGCTTACAGTCCTCTGATCCTCTCTCCGTAACTGTCCTCAGTGTAGGCTGAATGAGTACATGACACCCTTAAAATCTGTACGACTGTCCTTCCAGGGAGTGAGTGTGGAAAATGCATATTACATGACTTTGGAGTCTAGCAGCATACACTTACCCCAAATAATTCTCTGTCCCAGCTCCCCTCCTAAGTTTAGCACTGCCTCAGCAGCAGTAAAAAGAAGCTTTAAGCTACAGCTCCAATCAAGTAAAATTCCTCATACTGTCTCCTGTTACACGCTGAACAATTTTAAGATGTCAAGATACAAAGCAAAATATGAATTCTGGGCTTAGAATTCTAAATTTGGTAACCAGAAGTCATCCAATGTTGTTTTATATTCATGCGTTAGTAAGTTTATTGTGTGCAGAACGCTGCACTTGGAGCAAGCACTTCTTCCAACAGAAGTGATGTGATTTTACTTCCTCATGCCGGTATTATCAGATCAGTTCTTGCCAACTCTCAAGAATTTAATACAAATTACAAGTCTTGAGATACTTCTTGTTTGTTGTTTTTTTTGTGTTTTTTGGTGTTTTTTTTTTAACACACACACATATGGAGACAGATAATTATATGAGAGTCTTAGTTTTTATTTGCTGGGGCAAGGCGAGGGAAGGATGACAAGTCTAAACCTCAAAAGGGCCAGAGAAAAGATAAAAAAACCGAAACAGCCTTAAGGCACAGTAAAAAGCTCAAGATTTTCTAAGCCATTTTCGTGATTCTGGGGACCTCACTTTTGAATTCTCTGGGTTGGTAAAATTAATTCAATAATTTTCAGGATTTCTTGCGCTGATTCAACCATCTCCATTGTCGTCCCTCCCCATCACAACCAAGTTCTGAGAGCGCTACTTTTCCCCTTGTTCTTTTGGCTATTACAAATAACAAGTAACCTATACCTACGCACTAAAAATAATAAAAGGCGTATTTCAAGCTTACCCACAAACTTCTGTGGGGTGGAGCTTTTACGCTTTCCCATGTTGCTTGTCAGCTTCTCTATAACAGCAGGTCTCTCAAAAGGCACCAGAGAAATATTGTTGTCCATCACAGGCTCTTGTTCCTTACAATCTTCCATAGGAGGTACTACATAAAACCAAAAAATCGTATCAGACAAGTCTGGTCTACACTTCACAGACAACACAAATCATTTGAGCCCTGCTGATTGCGCAACAAGTGCAACACAAAACAAAGCAAGGTGCAAGAATACACTGGGCATCAAGATAGCATTCACCTTTAAGCAGAGCCACATTTACAAAACGCCTCTTTTTGGGACCATCTTATTTAGCAGAAGCCCAACTTTAAGTATTTATTAAAGGACTTGTTTTGTTCTGAATACTCAAGATCCCCAGTGAGGAGGGAACACTTTTGAAAACTCTGTAGATTACAATTTCTGTTATTCTCCCTTCAATATGGTCACCTGTTGCCAATGTAACTTTTTAGTTAACATTCTTTGTGTTTTCCCTTAACTTCACGCTTATCCCATGGCATGCTTACCGTTCTTAATTTCTTTTCGCGCTAATCTCAATGACTAAAAAACATTCAAGGCATCGATGACTTGTGTTTCCTGGGCCTGACTGTGCATTCCCCAAGACAAAGGCTTCCGGAATGAAGGATCTTTTTGGTAAAGTGTGTTTCCTCTTTCTATACTCGAGATTGTAAAATCAACAAATGCTGTACTGGAATTACAGGATTAACACCGTATGGAAATTCCCTTCAGAATCAGTCGCAGAAACTATCAGATTTTTTATTAATATTTTATCCCTTCAAACACAGACTTAACAACCGGTGAATGCAAGTCTCCTGTGTCTGTCTTCCCACTTTTTGGGATCAGCAGGGAGCATCCCTGTGCTAACTACATTAGGGGAATGCTCATACGCTGTCTTTGAGACAATAACAAGAAATTAATGACCCTTCTGTCTTTACTCATCTCACTTTGTCGCTTGTTGGGTTAGGGAATAGAGTGCTAGAGCAAAAGCAGTGTAGGAATTGCATGGGCTACCGACCAGGGTAGTGAGCGACTTGCACAGGGTTTTATGTCACTTGCTGACATAGCTGATCACTAAATACCTAGAGTACTCTGGTTTTGTTGAGCATCCTCTTATAAACACCACAAAGGGTCAGTGGTACCATGCTGCGGATCAGGCTCAGAGAGTCCAAGTCATTTGCAATATATGTCAAAAGTGTGATTCCACACGTAGCTCTTCCCACTGCTCTGCTGCCATGAGTTTAATACATGGCCTAACTGTCCCACATTCATCTTCATAAGGCAGCAAGAGAACCCTGAGAAGGATCAGCCACTAGTCGGTGTGTTAATGGGATAGCTGAGGTGTAAAAAATCATTTGAGAAGAATGGATGGCAGAGAAATAGAAACGGGGATGATCTTGCAAGGAGTTCCTACAATTTGTAAACTGTGAGCAACCCATTGCATTCTCCGTCTTAGATAAATCTTCCAGAGAAGTCACGGGTGGTATTGCAGAAGTAGTAGAGAAGGACTGAAACCCACATTTTCTGCTAGTCCTCCTCTGGTCCCTCACCATAGCCGCCTTTTGTATCACAGACATCTTCTCCCTGAGACTGTGCCATAAATGAACACCACCAGCCTACTTTCCTCCCATGTAACTTTACTACCTTCAGGATCCTAATATGGAATAATCACTCCCCTGTTCTTAAACACGCAGCTGTTTGCTAGCACATAATATATGAAAAATGGGGTGATAAAAGCCTTGTCTTTGCCTTCTTCCTAGTAAGGAAGAGCAAATACCAGGCAATTACAAAACAGAGTATCTGCTCAGGTGAACTTCGCAATTCAGACATTCATAATAAGAAAACATGGCAATTTATTCGTTTGATTCCATTTGTGCCTCTGCTGCTATGGAAAGCTGAGTACTTTGAGGCTTAGAATCTACCATATGCTATAAAATGATTTACTCTGCTGCTTTTTTATTTGTACAGGATGCTCCCCCTGAGAAACACAATGGTTTCTCATTTACAAGGCAGTCCTGCTGGCATCAGTGAAAGAGAAGAGTAAAAAGCATAAATATGAAATGAATCTAATGTTGCAACAAAACGGGATGCAGTGCTCGAGTGACCTAATTAACACCCAGTGCAGACCGGGAGGTCTGGAATACTTTAATAGTTAAGGCTAAATTTTTAAGGTTATTTAAATACTGTGCTTGGTCAGGAGCTATCTGCACTACTTCTACTCAAGTATTTACCAAGGAGGTTTTGGAAGAAAGGAAAGATTATGTCTGTTGATTTTCACTGGGAACTGGCGTCTGACTGTCCTTTTGGCTTACCAAAAATCAGCGTATGCACGCACATGCACGCACATTCTCCGTGAAACCCTGGATCCCTGCTCAGAGGCAATATCCATCCTCACTGCGATGGGCCAGGTTTGTATGCGAGTGTCACTTCAAGAATTTCCAGCCATTGGTGTACAGGTGGTGGGGACGTAGGGAGGTGCAGAGGGCTCTAAGTGCCCCCTAGGAAGACTTCCTAAAGGTATGCTTAGACTTTATAGGACTGTACTTGCCCATAAAATCAGTTGAAAACCTCTTGATTACTTTCATAGCCATTACTTTCATAGATTAAGCTCCAAATGTAGTGGCATTTGTATGTCTTATAACAATTAAGTAATAATTAAATAATTCTACTGTTGGGCATATATGTGTAAAATTTCCTAGACGGAATTTGAAACCTTTCTTCCATGAAAAATGAATAGTGCTAAAAAAGACATCTGCTCTTCTCTAAGTCAGGCAAAAATTCTGCTTGGACTCTTTTTAAAAGTAAAATCATCACCAATAAAAGCATTTTCTTTTCTACCTTTCATACTGCAAGCTCTTTCTTTTTCCCACCTCAAAACTCAACTCTATAATCCAGGGCATGGCTCTTTTGCAACAGAATCACTGAATCACGCCAATATTTATGTTACGAAGGGAATAAGTTACCAGAATGTGTTTTGTTATGGAGATTTCCTAGGAGAAGGGAGAGATGGAAATAGCCTAATTTCTGAAAACCATTTAAATTGCATGCAAAACCGGACCAAATAGGTGAGATGTCACATTTTAGAAACCCAAAGAGTTAAGCTAAAGATCACATTGTCAATTCTAGATACATTAATTTTCATTTCAATTTAAAAATATGTAAATAAAGGACAAATAGCCCAGCCTGCATCATTTTTTTTGAGGAAAAACAAAATAAAAAAGGGGAAAAGCAAACCGATCACACACAACCAACAGTTATCACAAATCAGATGCTCTGTGGTAGAAACTCATGCGTACACATTTACTCTGCGGTAAATGCAATTCCTTTTTTGTTGCATTTCATTGTACTTCATTACCTTGGTAGTGGGAGCTACCAAAGAACAGCTAACACATTATAACTAGCTTTGATACAGCAGCTCATTTTATGCTGTGAACTTATGGTCTCAGCTCAGAAAGTTTTTTTTTATTCTAAAAAATCAAGCATCTAGTCCATGAAAAGCCCACAGTTGAGTATGTTTCTGTTCAAGGATGTTCTAAATTAGCTATCAAGGTGCGCTTCTGGACTGCCCATGCAAACGTTTACCATCTCTGACACTGTTAATCTTCTCAATTGCAGTTAACACCAAATGCCGTTTCTAAGCCCAAACTCTCAATACACAAACCTGGATGGTCTTCAGGACAAAGTCTTTATTTTCCTGAAGTCTTTCAATCGTAGTGCTCAAAGTGGCTATCTTTTAGTTTTTGCTTTTAATTTGTAAGAAACCACACATACTATTAAAAAAGTTTATGCTGTTCCAGTGAGGAAAGAATAGGGGGGGAAAATTACCCAGTGTGCGTTTTGCTGATAAATACTTTTGTGTGCAGACAACAGACACTGGGCTAAGTCTCAGCTGGTATAAATTAGTATTACTCCATCAACCTCAATTTCCTTTCCAAAGCTCACAATATTGCTATTTAAAAAAAGTGTGTGTGTGTACAGAGAAATGACAGGAAATACTCCCATGGACCCTGTGTGAAGTCTCCTGTGGGACCAGCATTTTAACGATGTTTTAAGCAACTATGTAAGAGGGAATGACACAAGGCCATTGTGTGTTTTATGTGGAGCTGGCCTTCGAGCCTTGCACAGCCTAGGGCTAGGCTTCTTTCTCCTTCTCCTAAAAGGAGTACCCTTCTCCACTCTACTTTAAGAATTTCCCCGGACTTTTTGCTTTGCGGAGATGGAGGAGACCATAAAACCAGGTGTAAACCATAGCTAGCATTCAACATTTCTCCCCGTTCGTTCCCACAAAGGTCATGTTCTTGGCATTCGGAGACTGTCACTTTTGTCACCCCCAACACGCCGCTATCTAGGAGACCACAGACTAATTTCCACCTCTGGGGCCAACACTGCTTAGCTGAGAACTGCCAACAACAAAGTCATGGGAGCTCTCTTCCAGCAGCCGTCGTGCTGAGCGGGGAACAGGACCTAGCCACAGGGAGGGGCAGCTCAGCAAGCAACCGGCACCCTGCGAGAGGATGGAGAGAGACCCGGAGACTTGTACATTCCTACCCACAGACTGAAACTAGCCCTCCTTCCCCTCCTCTTGCTTCCCCTTGTGGCTTTAGTCAGCTGATCTAACCATCTGCAAGACAAAGATAATTGAAATTAAAGGCCTCATCAGGCCACGGCAAAAGCACCCAAGTAGACGTCTGTAGCATGCCTATAAACCGATCAACTTGAGCACAATGCTTGAAAAAAATCCAAACTCTCTAGGGGCTGCCTCCAGTTTTCTGGAACAATTCATCTCTGCAGAAATAATTTAGACTGATGCTAAACGTTGGCCATATTGGTTGAGACCCAGCACAGCCACCTGCGTCCTTAAAGCAGAATGCCGGTAGGGATAAGAAAATCCCCACCTCTACCTATTCTGTGCATAACAGTGAAGTTGTGACCAGGAGTCACACCAAAATGCACTCAGAGGCTTCAAAACACTCAGCAAGAACAAAATACTTAAAAAGTATTTGGAAAGAGAGTCAGGAAAACCTTACCCCAGTGTGATGCAAAACGATCAAAATTTCCAAAGCATGCACTCACTCATCCTCAGGAACACCCTTTCCATGTGTGACATGGGAGAGAAGGAAATCAATACATTTTTCAGGGTTAGACTAAGACCTAACTTCAAGCTGAGTAATCATTTGTATACTCTCCCCTGGTGTCTTTATAGTCCCAGGAGAAAGGACTTTGCTGCAGACCTCGACAGGTTGGTGCTCATGACCCTCACTCCCATGCTGAGCTTCACGGGATGCGAGGTGAGATTTATTACTGGTCCCAGCTGAATTTGGAGCTCCCTGTCACTGCCTGTCCTCATTATGCCCTCGCTCAACAGCGCAACGAAGACAGTGGATCAAACATCCCTTAAACGT